TGTTTTTTTTTTCTCTCCTTTTCTTTCACTTGTTTTCCTGTATTTATACACTAAGAGGGAGGGGCTTCAGTCAAAGTAGTTGGTGAGTCATGGGCGGCAAGTGCAGGGCAATGATATTTCTTAGCCTTCCTATATTTTCTTGCCTTCCTACCATAGCCAATGTGAGCTAAATAGTCATAGCAGGCTGCCATGACTGATAACACTATTCGTTATCATTTCTTTTCTTCTTTTTTTTTGTAATTCATTTAATTTCGTTTAATTAATTTAACTCAAGCAAATTTATCCTCAGTGGTAAACATAGTCAATATTATACTAGTCAGACTCATTTTCATGAGAGGAATTCAATGATGAAGTCCATTTCTTCATCCGAGTTTTCTATTAAAAGTCAAAATTTTGATAATTCAATAGATATAATTATAAATAGCGGATTTTCACATTCTACCCCTGAAAATAATTTCGTCCTCGAAATTAAATTCTAACATAACTAATTTAAGAGAATGTACCTCCATTCTCAAATAAGTGTGGCTAATTGACCCGCATTGTTGCTTCACGCTCCTAGGTTGCTTCTTCGATTCCTCGGTGTCTCCACAAGACTTCGACTAGGGGTATGGTTTTGTAGGACTTGTTCTCTTCTATCTTAGAACCGTATTGGCTTCTCCTCATAGGTGGCATCCATTTCAATCTCCATCTCACCCCAATCAACCACATGTGAAGGATCTGCCTCATATTTTCTCAACATAGAGACGTGAAATACATTGTACGCCCTTTCTAACTGTGACGGCAAAGCCAATCGATATGCAACTGCACCGACCTTTTCAAGAATCTCAAATGGTCCGATAAATCGAGGGGACAACTTTCCCTTTTTCCCAAACCTCATAAGACCCCTACGAGGCATCACTTTAGAAACATGTGATCCCCAACGTCAAATGCCAAGGGTCTCCTCTGTTGATCTGTATAACTCTTTTAGCGACTCTGAACCCAATAATGGAGCCTCTCCTACTTCAGCCCAACATAAGGGTGATCGACATGGCCTACCATATAGTGCCTCATAATGTGCCATCTCTATGCTCGACTGATAGCTGTTGTTGTAGGCGAACTCAATCAAAGGGATATGATCTTCCCAACTACCACCAAAATCTAGTATACTTGCCGTCAACATGTCTTCAAGTATCTGGATTACTCTTTCAGATTGACCACCTGTTTGCGGGTGAAATGTTGTACTGAACATCAATTGAGTACCCAAAGCATCCTGGAAACTCTGCAAAAACTGTGCTATAAACCTTGGATCTCTGTCAGACACTATCGACACCAGTACTCCATGAAGCCTAACTATCTCTCTGATCTATAATCAACTAAATTTGTCCAAGGTGTCTATCATTCGAGCTGGCAAAAAATGTGCTGCCTTGGTCAATCAGTCCATCACCACCCACACTGAATCGTGTCATCTAGTAGATTTTGGTAAAACAGTCACAAAGTCCATAGTCACATGTTCCCATTTTCATTCGGCAACAAGTAAGGGCTGAAGTAGCCCTGTTGGTCTCTGATGCTCATCTTTTACTTGTTGGCAGATAAGGCATCTGGCCACATAGCATTCCACATCGCTCTTTATCCCACTCCACCAATACTGATGACGAAGATCTTGATACATCTTTGTGCCTCCTAGATGTATTGCTAATCTAGAATGATGGAACTCCCTAAGCACGTCATCTTTCAATGACTCGTTATTGGGTATGAAAACCGTGTCTCAAAATCTCAAGGTCCCCGTCTGAGTGTATGGCCTAACCGTCCATTCTGGCTCCACTGTGGACTCTAGAACGGATAGAGTATGTCTCTGAATCTTGACCTTGTGCCTCTATCACCCGACTAAGGAGTGCTGGTGTGACCACCAAATTATAGAGACAAGCACGATCACTCTGCTTATCTAGCTGTAACCCAAATTAACTAACAATCTCCATCATCTGCCATTCTTTTGATGCTATGCGAGCAACTCTCCCCCATGACTTCCTACTTAAAGCATTAGCTACCATGTTTGCCTTACCAGGGTGATAAAGCAAAATGAAATCATAATCTTTAATATATTCCATCAAATGCCTTTGTCTTATGTTGAGATCTCTCTGAGTAAAGATATACTTCAAACTCTTATGGTCTGAATACACTTCAAACTCCTCACAAATATATATAATGTCATCATGTCTTTTGAACAAAGACAACAATTGCTAACTCTAAGTCATGGGTGGGATAATTTTGTTCATGCATTTTCAACTGACGAGAACCATATGCAACTACCCTATCAGTCTGCATCAATACACATCCTACACCTTCTTTCGAGGCATCACAATACACAATGTAATCCAGTCCTCGCTATGGTATCACCAAGATAGGTGCACTAGTCAACCTTTCCTTTAATTTACAAAAAGCCTGCTCACAAGTTTCATCCCACTGAGNCCCTATCAGTCTGCATCAATACACATCCTACACCTTCTTTCGAGGCATCACAATACACAATGTAATCCAGTCCTCGCTATGGTATCACCAAGATAGGTGCACTAGTCAACCTTTCCTTTAATTTACAAAAAGCCTGCTCACAAGTTTCATCCCACTGAGACTTCACTCCTTTCCTAGTCAATCTAGTCATCGGGGCTACTAGTCATGAGAAATCCTCAATAAATCTTCGATAAAATCCATCCAATCCCAAGAAACTCTGGATCTCATAAACTAACTTTGGTCGCTCCCACTTTATCACTCCCTCAACCTTCAATGGGTCTATTGGTACTCCAAATTCCGATACCATGTGTCCTAAGAATTTCACCTCAGATAACCAAAACTCACACTTGTTTGCTTTGGCATATAACTGGTGATCTCTCAGTGTCTGGAGTACAATTCTCAAGTGTCGCTCATGGTCCGATTTGGTCCGTGAGTACACAAGAATATCATCCTCAAATATCACAACAAACTGATCCAAATATGGACTGAAAATCCTATGCATCAAGTCCATGAATGCTGCTGGAGCATTCGTTAACCCAAATGGCATTACTGCAAACTCATAATGCCCATATCGGGTTCTGAAGGCAGTCTTGGGTATTTCTTCATCTTTTATCCTCAATTGGTGATACCCGGTCCGATGATCAATCTTTGAAAAATAACGAGATCCTCTCAGCTAGTCGAATAAGTCATCTATCCTGGGCAAAGGGTACTTGTTCTTGATAGTCACTCGATTCAACTGTCTGTAGTTAATACACAACTTCAAGCTTCCATCCTTTTTCTTGGCAAATGGTGTTGGCGCTCCCCACAGGGAGATACTCGACCATATAAATCCTTTATCTAATAGATCCTGGAGTTGCAACTTCAATTTATGAAGTTTAGGAGGTGCCATCCTATAAGGTGTCATAGTAACTAGTGCAGTGCCTGGTTGCAATTCAATTGAAAAATCAACATCCGTTCGAGGAGGTAGTCCAGGTATCTCCTTCAAAAAAACATCAGAGTACTCGCACACAACTCGAGGAAGACCCAACTCCTTTATATCATCATCACTGATTACCAAACTAGCTAACCAACCCATCAATTGGTTACACCAGTGCAAATCTCGCAGAGGTGGAGGTAATTTTGCATGTTTATCCCCATGAAATTGGAAACAAACACCCTCTGTGGTATAAGCTGTCACCTTTTTTTGATGACAATCAATAGTGACACGATGAGTTGATAACCAATCCATTCCTAGAATGATGTCAAACTCCACCATTTTCATGACCCTTAGGTCCACTGTTAGTCGAAGACCCAAGATCTCCAACTCACAAGATCGGCAAATACGATCTACCTGAATTCTACAACCCAAGGGCTAGTCAATGGATAATGATAAGCCCAATGCAAATGCACATGCCGTAGATATAAATGAGTGAGATGCATCCGAATCAAACAACACACTAACCCAAAAACTATGTAACAGAACACTACCTTGGATTACTAAATGATTAATGAACTCTTCTTGTTAAGTCAACACAATGACACTACCCTATGTATGCTGGCTATGTCCATCGCGTCCTTTGCTGTGATTTTGCCTCGTGGGTTATTGGGATCCAAATGGGGGAATAGAGGCATATGATGTGNAAATCAACATCCGTTCGAGGAGGTAGTCCAGGTAACTCCTTCAAAAAAACATCGGAGTACTCGCACACAACTCGAGGAAGACCCAACTCCATTATATCATCATCACTGATTACCAAACTAGCTAACCAACCCATCAATTGGTTACACCAGTGCGAATCTCGCAGAGGTGGAGGTAATTTTGCATGTTTATCCCCATGAAATTGGAAACAAACATCCTCTATGGTATAAGTTGTCACCTTTTTTTGATGACAATCAATAGTGACACGATTAGTTGATAACCAATCCACTCCTAGAATGATGTCAAACTCCACCATTTTCATGACCCTTAGGTCCACTGTTAGTTGAAGACCCAAGATCTCCAACTCACAAGATCGGCAAATACGATCTACCTGAATTCTACCACCCAAGGGCTAGTCAATGGATAATGATAAGCCCAATGCAAATGCACATGCCATAGATATAAATGAGTGAGATGCACCCGAATCAAACAACACACTAACCCAAAAACTATGTAACAGAACACTACCTTGGATTACTGAATGATTAATGAACTCTTCTTGTTAAGTCAACACAATGACCCTACCCTGTGTATGCTGGCTATGTCCACCGCGTCTTTTGCTGTGATTTTGCCTCGTGGGTTATTGGGATCCAAACGGGGCAATAGAGGCATATGATGTATGTCCCACCATCGGGCTAGTTTGTGCATGCTTCTGGGGTTGAGTTTGTTGTGGATAAGATGGTTACACATTTTGTTGTGGTTTAGCAACATTCTGAGAGGGTCCTCATTATGGATAGTCTTGCCTATAATGTCCCACATATCCGCACTCATAACATACTCCTTGCCCTTGAACAAACTTCCCCTTCTTTTGGTGCTTCTGTTGAAATGATTGATGACTCTACGTCTGATCACCCTGAGATTGCGGTGTTGAAGTTCTTTGCCTCTTACCAGAGCCAGCTCTAGAACGTGAATCTCTAGATCGTGGACTAGACTCTTTAATTTGCGTAGTATCGTCCAACTCCCTTTCTGCAACTAGTGCCGCCTCAACCACAATGGCATATGTCGGGAGGCATAAAACCATTACACGACCTCTAATGGTAGGCCTGAGACTCCATTCAAACCTCCTAGCTCTACTATCGTCATCTGGTACTATTGTGCTAGCATGTCTGCCTAGTTCAGCAAATTGAGCCCCATATTACATTACAATGAGATCTCCCTAACGCAATCCTAAGAATTTCTACACCTTCGCTCCCTTAATTATCCATAAACACATCATGAAAGTCTTTCCACATTATCTTCTTAACATCCTTGGTTTCCTTAATCATATTCCACCAGCGATCTGCCTCACTCTCCAATTGGAAGGCAGCTAAAGTAACTTTGGTTCCATTAGATCTAATCCCCATTGCATCAGGGATCTTCTATATCTGTCTAATCCAGTTCTCTGCCACTATCGGATCAGGCTCACCGTTGAACATTGGAGGGTTTTGCCCCCGGAACTCCTTTAGTGTGATCATGGTGTTCATCCCATTACCCTCACTCTGAGACATAACTCTAGCAATTTCTCGCATGGTCTGCATCAAGTCAGAATCATCAGCGCCTTGCCAAAAGGAGGCTGCTGCACCGCCATTAGTCCTATTCCTCATCATGGTCTAATCAAAAGCCAGACAGCCGGTAAAACTTAGCATTAGAAAAAAATAATAATAATAACAATAATCATAGTCAGTCTCTAATTATAGCTAGTATACGTGTATTCGATATGCCTAAGATTTCCCTCAAGGTCCCTTGTAAATCGTATACCTAAACTCTAATACCAAGCTGTGATGCCTCGATTTTTCAGGGTGATTTAGTATGTTTTATGTGACAAATAGACACAATTCATCAAATGAATTGAACAGTTCATGTACTTTGGTTTAGACTAGACAATCAGAGTATTTATTTAATATCATAGTCTAAGTACACAAATTATACATTCATCCCAAAAGTAGTCCATACTCGATAGTATTACATCCCGTCGGTTTTGAAAACACACCAAAGCAACAAAACACAAGCCACAAATCTAGAATTTTCTTGAGCATTAACATGAAATATAATATCTCATAATCCAACTTAGCATATATATTCAAGATAGCTCTGGGAAGAAACCCACGTCATCTCTTGGTCTAGTCCTTGCAAAAATGTTAGGGTGAGTCACGCTCAACAAGAAAAACAACTACTAGGTTTTAATCCCATCCTGTAAAATATGTATCAATACCTATAAGTTCACATCAAATACTTTTTTTACTATAACAACCTGCTTAAAACATCGCATGAGGTATTATATAAACATTACCAACAAACACGAAATGTACGATTGATGGAAAACTTCAATTAAACATGTAATCAATCTTACCCATTCATGTCATGGGTCGCCCTAAACTTTCACTCTTAGTATTTATCCATTTAAATCAATACACCGTTTGTTATGCACAAACCCCCTTGGGAACTCTGGGTCCCTTTGAGAGCTTTAACCTCGGGTGTACCCCACCCCCTCGTTCTTAGATGCTTTCAATCAGGGCACAAGTGACTCCACACCTCGACGGATGCTACGCTTGATCAAGACTTGTTTCGGGTCTTTCACCCAAGGGAGGGGCGATCCCTACTTGCTTGTCCCAATTACATTTCGAGAATTACTTCATGTGTCTCATTGTCGGTTGAGTACAATAACTAGAATAATCACAAATGATGTATTTACCATCATGATAACAACCAAAATGCAAATAATATAATCATGAATATGCATTTCAATATGACTTCAACTTGTTATCGTATATGAGTATATGCTACTCAAATCAATATATATATATATATATATATATATATATATATATATATATATACATTCTATCTATGTGGAAGTGTACCACCCTTTACACTTAATATTATTCTTGTAAATTTTCCATATATAAATTTCGTAAGTAATCCCACTTTTACTTGAACGATAAATATATATATATACATAATTTTTATCACCATGAGGGTTGTTTAAAACTCCAAGGAAATACCATCTTAAAGGCCACATATGATTTGGTGGTCTTTCCACACAAGTATTCTCTTTTGGGTCCATTCATAAATATTTAGGAACTTTATCATGAAATTAGAGGTCACTGTGTAATATTCAAAATTATTTCATACTTATTGGGGTCAAAGTACAATTTTAGAAACATTTCTGCACTACTCGAAATACTAATTTGGCATTTGGAAATGTTTTATAAACTTATGTGGTCATTGGGTAATCTCATAAAGTACATAGGTGTAACATGTTTAAGGTCAAGGGGACCTTTCTGAATTAAGCTAAAATTTCATCATTTTCTCCAATGTACAAAACCCCTGCATCAGTAAAGCTTCTTCTCCCATGTTTTTCTTTTCTGCAATAAATTGTTTCTTTTATTCATTCCTTTCAAACCTAAAACCACCCATTCATCACCAAAGACCTAAATTACTTTTCAACAAATTTTCACCTCTTTCCTTCATGAAATTGAAAGACCCATTTAATGAATTTCATTCGTATATATATATATATATATATATATATATATTATTCATCGAAATGCACACCACATATACTAGATCAACAACTTGCAAAGCAAAAAGAAAATTAAAACCGTAGAGAGATATGGAAGAAACAAAGGCATTGTAATTCCTACCTTTGTCTAAAGCTAGTAGTTGTAGGTTGAAAGTTTTGGTCCTTAAGCTTCTCCTCTTCCAACACTGGTGTCCTCTCTCTCTCTCTGCTTTTCTTTTCAATAACAAGGCTGGCAGATTGTTTTTTTGTTTTTTGTTTTTGTCTCCCTTTCTTTCACTTGTTTT